AAAATAAAGTAAAATAAAATAAAATAAAATAAAATAAAACAGTTAAAACAAACTTTAATATTAGATATATAAATTTTATTTTATTTCAATTTATTTAATTTTTCTATTTTATTTTATTGTACTTTATTTCATCTTATTTAATTTAATTAATTTTATTATTTTTTATTTTATTTCAAATGAATTTTATTTTTATTTATTTTGCTACATTTCCTTACATTTTGGTTTTCTAAATCATTAATTTACCTTAGTTAAATTTTATTTACTTTTTTCTATTTAATGTTTTGATAATTTTCTAAAAATTTTTTTTTTTTTTTACTTGATTTATTTCCTATTTTTTATTTTTTATTTTTGTTTATATTTAATTCGCGTTAGATTGGCAGAGCACTCTGAAATTCTAGTCGTCGGGCATGCATTCATCTCACCATATTCTGCATAAGAGTTGATGCATGCACCTTAGCGGCACCACGTCGCCGTACTAGAATAGCCCGGCTGGTACGCAGTCAGCTCCAGCAGCAGGACTCACGTATTTTGGCCTCTCTTCTTATTGAGGCAAATACATCTCGCTTCCCTCTTCTGTCAGAGCTCGCGTTGCGCCCGGTAGCAGCGTGGCCCTGCAGGCGGCATCTTTTTTCTTTGCAGCCTCTTGACACTCCTCATCGTACCAGTTGTTCTTTTGGGCTCGCTGTAATCCGATTACTTCTTCGGCGGCGATACTTAATGAACGGTAAATGTGGTTCAACTGCTCACATATGTCGGTTTGTTGAAGAGTGCTCTCTGAGAGCAGGTGTGAGAGTCGAGTAGCGAATGCATTGGCCGTTTGTTGTGACTGCAGCTTTTCAACATTAAGCTTTCCTTGTCATGTAGGGCGCACATTTTTTGCTGCACAGAGGCGGGTGCGTATCTTGGCTGCAACAAGATAGTGGTCCGATTCGACGTTTGACCCTCAAAGCGTACGTACGTCTAAAACACTGGAAGCGTGGCTTCCTTTCTAACACAACATGGCCGATCTTGTTTTTCGATCTGGAGACGGTGATGTAGCTTAATGGCTATTTTTATGCTTGATTTTAGTCTTACATAATATCACATTTCGGTCCCCGGCGAAGTCGACCAGCCTCAGTCCGTTCTCGGACGGTTCTTTGTGGAAGCTAAATTTTCCGACAAGTAGCTTTTTAAATTTGTAAAACACATTTTGTGCGAACCAAATTTGTATTTAAAGGGCAGATAAATTTTAAGCGATATTTCAGAAACCGGCCTGTACGTATGAGGGTTGTCCGAAATATATAGACATTTAAATATTTATGTTTCACCTCTTTATTTGGTTCTACGTACAAAATATGGGCCTCCACGAAAATATCAAAATTTAAAAAAAATTTTAGCAGTCGCTACCAGAGTTTGAAAAAATTTTATTTTTCTTTAAAAAATTGCAAAAACTCGAGAAAATGTTTGACTTTCAATCTGATAAGTTTGGAATTTTATTGAAACCTATTTATATGAAAACATAAACTCGCAGAGTTATAGCTAGTAAAAATTTTTGTCGAATTTTTTCGATAAAAAAAAAA